ACTTTGTTTCTTGTTGCCTTCTCTTTTACCCTTTTGCACATCGGAACACTTGGATGATGTTCCTTGGTTAGGAGTTTAAAGCATAGCTACATGAGCGCCACTGAGTAGCATGAGCTACAGGAGCTCCTGTTACCTCTTCTCCTCAGAGCATGGTGGTGGATCAGAGAGAAAGGACAGCTGCCATCTCTTAGATTTGAAATTTTGATACTTCATGACAACATATTGGGATTGTACTGGTTTCAGATTTTTATTATAGTAGTTTTAGTTTGGTTTACTTATGACATTTTGGCTGAGAAGAACTGAATATATTCATGTATCACTAAATGTGATAATAGCATTAAAGTTTGAGATATACGAAACTCCCTGAAAGACTGAGTTATTTATACACCTCCTAAAGCCAGTTATTGCTTGTTATTTTTTTTCTTCATTATTGCTTTTTTTTCTCCTCCTATTTTTTTTTTTTTACTGTGCAGTCATACTTGGCCACAAGGAAACAGGAATATATTTGAAGAAATGGACAAAATTTATCCTGCAGTAACTTCCTAAATCAGGGGGAAAAAAATGACTCTCAGCCAGTAAAGCTTGTCTCTGAGGCTGCTGAAACCCATCTCTCCGCATGCATTGATCTCTCTAGGCTGCTTCTGTAAAGCGACTGTTGATTTTCTAACTTAGAAGTCTCAGTTACAGACTTAAATCTGGGTTGATCCTTAGGTTTTCTTGTTGCGCTTTCCTTAGAAGCATTTGTTTGCCTGCTGTGTTTCTGCACTGGACTATGTTGAGTGTTTGTTTCATCCAGCATTGCCTTGATGAGTAAAAGGTATCTGTAGCATCACAGAAACAAGACTTCGCCTTTGCAAACTGATGTAGAAATTGCTCTTTCCCACACTGAAACATGAAGCAATATCCCACAGGATTAGGAAGAAGTAGTAGGCTAAGTGACGTGGAATACGACGATCCCTGGGTGCCTGGAAGGGGGCAGTACTCTTTCAGATCTGTAGGCTGCCAAACACCCAGTGCCCCTGGATTTAACTTTTACTCAGCCACTGGGAAGCACACCACCTGCATTTTGGTGGGTGGAAGGGACTCCTGCCCCTCTATTTATACTCCTTCATGCACGTAGAAAAGACTGACCTCTCAACATGTTTTATTCTCTTTGGCTACGCTTTCAAAAAGATGAACATGAGAAGTTATAAACCTAAAGGCATACACCAAAAAAAACAAAGATTTTTTTTGGGGGGGTGGTTTAAATTTAAAGTGAGACCAGACAGTATATGAAAGAGCCTTCAATCCTGTCTGTGTTCTCCTGAGCGTGGGGGAGGTCAGCGTGTCTGCCCACACTTCCTTCCGCTTCCTTGTAAACCTCACAGTGCATAGCGGGGTATCCAGTTTACTTAATTGTCTCTTGGAAATTCTCCAGTAGTGTGGATGTTTTATCCTGTCCCCAGGAGATCCCATTTTGGTACACTGTTTCTCCCTAGTACATCCTCTTCCCTATAGTTTTTTTTCATTATAGTGGAGAAATATTTGTCAGCCACAACAGCCAGTAGGCAAAAAGTTGTTTGCTTTACTAGAAAGGAAAGAGCGTTGTTTGAGAGCATTCTGCTAGCTGAAGGGTGCCTTCTTCCAAAAGGGAACAACCTCAGTAATTGTCAGAATAGGTAAAGACTCTGTATCTTTCATTGTGGAACTGCTTTAACGACTATCCTTTGTCCAAGAGCACTGAAAAACTGTTATGTAAAGAAACTGTAGTGACTGGAACTTTCCCTGCAGCTGTGTATTTTTGCTCCTATACAGGCAGAAATAACATTAAGGACTCCATGACAAAAGGAAAAAGGAAAAAAAAAAACAGATGGTGCTGTGTTGCTAAGCAACTTTAAAGAAAGAAACCACAGAGCTCTATTTAGGCCTTGTAAAAACTCAAGCAGTAAATACCCACTCCTTTGATCTTATTTAACCGTGGTGATGCTTTGTCATCCTCTTTGCTGAGAAGCGAAATTTCTGGGGACAAATAAAAGAGGTAGTTATGATATTTCTTGAAAGGCCTAAAGATTTAGGATGGCAGCCTGTCAGTAACTAGTCACTAAGAAAAACAGTTATAATTACGCTGTCTAGCTCAACTGTGATCAAATCTAACATTATCTATTATGTTACGTCTGTTCTTTCCCATCTACCCCAAACCCACTTCTCCCTGTACATCCAAAGTCTTACAGTACCGCCATGATCACTGCAATTGTGGAACACAGTGATATTCCCAGATGTTACATCCATCTCTGTGTTCTCAGCCACCTATAGATAGATGCCATGTAATTCTCATTCTGGTCCACTGAAAAATAAGTAGAAAGTGTTGGGGGTCACTGTCTCCATTACAATGAACAAGCCACAGGGAATGTTTGCAGAC